CACTGCACTCCAGTCTGGGCGACAGAGTGAGACTCCAACTCAAAAAAAAAAAGAAAAAGAAAGAAAAGAGGAAGTCAAGTTATTTCTCTCTGCAGATGACATGATCGTATACCTTGAAAACCCAAGAGAATCTGCCAAAAACCTCCTGTCACTGATAAAGGACTTTGGCAAAGTCTCAGGGTATAAAATAAATGTACAAAAGACAATCGCATTTCTATATGCCAAAAATAAACAAACAGAAACCCAAATGAAAAGCACAATTCCATTTACAATAGCTGGCAGAGGCCATGACAATCTGGGGCTCAGCATGGGAACCAAATGAAGACACCCTCCTGGAAGGCAAAGCCCCAGGGGGGATCTTTGTGCGTGGCAAGGCCCCACGGAAAGTCTTGAGGAAGTTCTGCTTGGCTGCCCTGTGACTCATGGTCGCCTGGTTATTCCCATTATATTGTTATACTCCTGCCTTACAGGAATAATATGTTTCAATCTCCCTCGGAAAAGAATAATGTAACCAGAATTGGAGGGAATAGTGTCTACAATGCCAGTAATAAAGCAGTCAATGTTTCAACATCGGCTATGCCTCAGAAAATACAAATAAAAACAGGAGAGGTCATGACGACCCAATTGTCAATAGAACCAATCACTGTAACATCTACTGCAACAAAATGTACCTTTAACTGTATGGCAAATAAAACACTTAGAGATTCTCTATTAAAATTGTGGCATAAGGAATTAACAGAAACTGAGGTAAAAACTGTTACATATAACATAGGTATAGTTAAACATCAGATTAGTCATAAAACCAAAACCCCCAAAAATAAAACTCTTAAGCCTTTACCTACTATTAGAGCAGGACAACATGTGGGATATAATATTAATAATAGTTTGGTAGGCCCCTAGGGGTAAAAGCAGCATGCAAGATTTATCGTGGCTAGATCCTCCTTTACCTTACACCAGAACTTATGATAAAGACATGGTTAGGTGGGCTTGGGTAGATAGCAGATGTATTAAATAAAACTCTCTGTCTCTCTAGGAAAGAATTAAATGTAGTAGCCCACCATGGTGTTTAATTCTAAAAGCATAAAAAATAAAAATCTGCTATAAAGTAAATCAATTGTATAAAAAATTAAATATAACTATTATACAATAAAAGATTATAAAAATAGATATAAATAGTTAAACTTGATATAATTAATAATAATGATTTTTTGCTATTGTTCAATTATAAAAATAAGTTTAAAATACTTAAAATAGGTAAAATAAGCTTTGTATAAATCCACATATTATTACTTTAATAGCTGATTGTCCTTTTTACTTTTTATTTTCCTTATAAAAAATTATATATTTTCATAAAATACAATGTTAAGTTTATAAGGTTAATAGTCCAACAGGTGGTGATAGTGATAACCACAAAAACCAGTTTTGGGTTTATGGGCAAGTTATATTAATCATTAATTTAATTTAATTTTTTATTTTTTGAGTTGGAGTCTCACTCTGTCACCCAGACTGGAGTGCAGTGGCCGCTTCCAGCCACTGCAGCCTTGACCTGCTGGGTTCTGGCGATCCTTCTGCCTCAGCCTTCCAAGTAGCCGGAATTACAGGCATGTGCTACCACGCCCGGCTGATTTT